CATGCTTGGCAGGGAAAGGTTGAGTGAAGGAGGACTTCCCAGCAGCTTAAATAAACTACTCCAGATACGTCTCCAAAGACTGAAAAGCTCCCAGAAAAGGCAGAGTGACGTTTCTCACTGTCGCACGTCTCGGTTCCTGCCGGAAAGAGAACGCCCCCTATCTGAATGTGGGGGTCCCATGCTCATTTCTATAATCAGATAATTTTGGAAACATGCTGTTGTTATCTTTTTAATAGCATCTAAATATTCCAGAACGATGTGTGATTTAACCACCTTAGTTTGAATTTTGTGTTCACCCTAACAGATCTCCCTTCCAATTTGTTCTCCTCGGCTTGACTCTTTTAGATTTTTCTGTGGTAAGACACTACTGAATGTAATGGTGGCTTTTCTCAGCCATCTCTCTGGTCCAGACCCTCTTGAATTTCAGCCTCAGTTCTCCAGAATCTTCCCAACGTGTCGTCTCCGTGTTTTGAGAGCATCTCATTGTGCGCGAGCATAATCACTAAAGAACATGTTGGTAGCACTTGGCTTAAAGATCACACCTGTGAACCTCAGTTCGTCTCCTTCCCCAGTCAGGTCTGAATCACGTATCCAGACCATAGCACCCCGTCCGCCGATGAGCATGGCCTGCTCTGCGGCCTCAGCGAGGCTTGGGTTCCTCCGTAGAGTTGTCATCGTTGACCTAGAAATTGCGGTAAGTGGCGACTTGCCAGGACAACTTTTCCCCGTCACACTGCTGAGTCACGCAGCCTCTCGCTGGGCAACATGTGAGCTTTTGAGATTTAAGCCCCTTGTAAGCAACTCTCTTTCGAGCTATTGTGAAGGCGGGTCACGTGTGCGGAAGACAGAAGGAAGCTTTGGTTTTCAGAACCGAAGACCTCTAGGACAGGGCCTTCCTCTCCTGTTAGGGCGTGAAAGGTGCGTTCCGGCTATAAAGTTCGAGCATGCAGAGAGAACGCACGCGATTTTCGCTCCAAATTGCCTGCCCTACCCCTGATTCCCAAGCAGTCAGGCAAGCCATACTTACAGGGTAGTGCTGCCCTCTGCTGGTCTTCTGGAGTCAGTGCTGCCGAAGCAGGAGGTGCCAAAATCAATTTTGAAAAGAGAAACTTCCTCCTGTCTTCTGTGATTGGAGCTCTGTGTTTTTTCCATTTTTTTCTCTCATAAGACATCTTGCTGAGCAAACCTTGATGACCTGTGGAACGCACAGACTCCTGTCAGCAGAGTGTTCTTATCCGTGGCCACACTGGTACAGAGAGCACAGACTCTCCAGGACCTTTCCCGGCCTGTGTGTCTTAAGCAAGAAAGAGAAGGTGCTTCTTATTTGTCATTTTTAAAAATGCATCTCTTTATGACATCGGTGCAGTGCCAAGGGAAAACAACAGACTTGTACTTCCTCTGTTGCTCTGTGAGATTTCCTTAGGGTTCGTACTGTCATTTAAATTCCAGGTGCTGATCTGCACAAACGCCTCCTGAGGATTTCCGTGCCTGGAAAATGTCTGTTAACAGATTGCTTTTACACCCCTCTGTAAGTCTAGGCCTATGCTCATAAATCAACCCCAAGGGAGTTTTGTTTTATTTTGTCCCTAGAGGATTCCCCTGTAAATTTTTTTTTTCAAATGGTCATCAGTGTTTGATCTCTATTTCTTTTCCCTTAAAACACTCGATCACCCATATTACTGTCAGAGAAAGTCTATAACTTGAACTCCTGCTTAAAAGCAAGGATATGGATCCCATATTCGGGTCTTAGACTAGGAAGAGGAAAAGAAGCAGAAAAATTAAAGATAACTCAGTTCAGTTAAAGGTGCCATTTGTGGATCAAAGGGCATCCTTTCAGATTTTAGTATTTGTGAAACATCGCTGCCGTTGGCTGCTCCAGAATGTGTCAGTGTCCAGAAAAACGTGTCAAGGCAGGTTCTGCAGGCCCTTGCATTTACGAGCTGTGGCAGATCTCTGAGCCACATCGCTGCTTACGACATGCTGATGGAAAGATGTCATCACAGCCATCATTTATTGGATGTTTGCATCGCGCTATTTCGAGTTCAAGTTGCTTTATAATATTTACCTTAATTTAAGTCTCCCAGCAACCTTATGTAGCGGGGTACTCTTATCATCCTGATTTTACAGATGAGACTGAGACACAGAGTTAGAGTAGCTTGCCCGAGGTTGTGCGGGGAGCTGGTTGCAAAGCTTGACTCTCTGGCCCAAGAGGTCTTCATTGGATCACCGCGTCATGCCGCCTTATAGAAACGGGAGACTCGGGCGGATAGACTGCTGGTCTCTGTTTTGGAGACAGTATTTTAGCACCGTCATAATCGTATGCGCGATCTCTTGGACTAGTCACAATTCTCCTTCGACCTGAGCTTCCTTAAGACTAGCAGGAAAACAAGACTAGTGGAGGAGATGTGACTTGCTTAAGGTCACACTGCACATCAGGAGTGTGGCCGCGGGTCCATTCAGCGCTCACGAAATCCCACTAATTTCCAAGTTTTCTCATTCCTCCTGGTGGGTTGCTTGGTGCTGCTTCTGCTAATCGGGACCAAAGCTGGTTTTCAGAGTTTGCTCATGTGCTTATTGGTGAAACCCTGACACTCAGAGCCAGTTTATGTTCAGAGTTCCGTGTGGCCCCTGTGAAGGTTAGTGGTTACCGGCTCTGTGACACACTGAGCAGCAAAGTGCAATGGCTGAAAGCCTGGGCTAGAAATCAGGCAAACCAGGGTCGAAATCCTGGCCTGGCCATCCATAAGCTTTATGACCAGGAGCAAGTCATGTACCCTCTCTAGATTTCTGTTCTCTCGCCTGGAGATAACACCACCAGCCTTGTTGTAAAAGTCGAAAAGATACATGGAAAGCACGTAGCGCAATGTCTGGTACAGAGTGAGTGTTCTAAAAACGGAAGCTGCTGTTGTTTTTCAGAGCGCCTACCCAGCCACGTCTCAGATCTTTTTGGCCTTCACCTCGACAAGGCACGCCAGCATTCCGATCCTTCTAATTAACCAAAGAACAAACATTTCTGTAGTGCTTTAAAAATATAGACCGTTTCCCTCTGCTGAATTCCGCATGACCCTGACAACCACCAGAGTATGGGAATGTGTATCACCAGTCTCTAGATCAGGATCCTAAGGCGCAGAAAAATTAAATGACCTCTCGAGATCCCAGAGCTAGGAAGCGGCGCTTCGACTCAGCCACAGCTCCGGAGCCGGCACCACTTCGCCCCCTTCCCGTGAGGGAGCATTCATCAACGGCGTGGCACGTAAGTCAGCAGAGGATGACTTCACAGCTGTCCGATCCAGCGCTATACCAATAACCCTCGCATCTTTAGTCTGACCTAAATGCCCTTCAGGGCTGTCGTCTCCTGATGTCGGTAACATTTCGAAGCCACATCCCTAAACAATTGTCCCAGTCAGATGCGATCTCCTTGTGACATCCTCAAGCCCCAAGGGGAGTTCTCTCTATCCAGTTTGCTCACGCGATTTCAGGCTGGCATCTCATGTTGGTGAAAACAGTGTTCGTTCACCGTTCGGGTTTGTCCACGCAGGAGTTACCGGTGTGGCTTCTTGATTCACACTTCAGGCTTCAACTCTCCTATCAGATTTGGAAGGAAAAAAAACACACAAAGAAGGGCAGCTTGTTTAAGGACAGCATCAAGTATCGCAGTACAAGGCTGGCTTTTGAAAATGGCACACGTCCTCGTGGCTTGTGGGCCAAGAGACACTAAGGAAGGATTTTGTGCGTGAAAAGTGATTATTTTCATGCGAGAGATGGAGAGTTGAACGATTTTAAGTGTGTTCTGTGTTTAAGAAAGAGTCGTTATGAAACGACATTCCTATCGAATGATGCAGCAGCACCTTAAAATTGTTGATGGTTAAAATAGAAACTCCCCGAGTTGCAGAATTTCAGCCCTGCTGGATCACGGCCTGAAACGACACGGCCTGAAGCGACAAAGCAGTCAGGTCGAGGGGTGGATGCCGGAGGATGCGGAGGAGTGGAAATGTGCTGTTTGTGGAATACAGTCTTTGCTTGTGGTTGAACGTGGCTTAAAAACTCAACAAAGTCACCAATACCAGTTGCCGTCGGCCTGTTTTCCTGTATATATCCTAGAAAGAGAATGTATGAGCCCCTATTAATTTCTCAACTCATTTTATTTTTTTCATTTCCCTACTAGTGAACAGTGCAATTTCCCCCCATGTTAATTTGGTGACCAGTCTCTTCCCAAGGGCCTGTTTTCAGGGAACTGGCCTCCTGCTTTTAGAAGAAGATGCGAAAACAGGGGCCCAAACCCAAGGTCTTTATTCCAGCATGTTTCGTTTCAGGCACTTTACAGTCACGTACCAACTGAGTTCCTTAGTGCCCCGCCCCCACCCCCACGGGCTTAAAAACTGCAGGGCAGTATACCCAGTGACTGATGCCTCTGCTTATTATGCTTCGGCTGCTGAACACGCCATGTCAGACTGGGGTCACATGAAGGGGCATAGATGCAAGAGGGTATACCCACCTTTGTTGTTCTGCTGAATTTTTCAGAAGGGTGCTTCAAGGATAATTCAGGCAACTTAGCGTGTCTCTTTCTGCTAAGGGAGCAAAGCAGTCTGGTTGTGTATATATTGTACGTGTCTGTGTTCACACGTATGTACCTATATGAAGTATAGTTGATGTAAAAGATAGGTAGCATCTTATCACACATAAGTAAAAGATAGAAAGCGATTCTTCAGGAAAGATTTCCCCCGTAACTGAAGGGTCCGTCATTTGAAAAACAAACTTCTAAGTGACAAAAGCTGTGACTAGTCATTTGTCAAAAATAAGCAGGCCTTTTTGTTGTGGATTTTAGATTTTTTTTTTTTTTAATGGATGAGAATAATCTGGCTGCATCTCGCAGGCTTCAGTCACCGATGGGCTATACTAGCGTATATAGAAGGTTGCAGTGGACCCCTAAAAAAATCACAACATTAGCGAAATACTTATTTGAGAGTTCCAGTGACTCTTTTATCTCCATACTTTTTCAGGTTTAAACGCTTACATTTGCTGTCCAGAAAGAGTGAACTGCCTGTCAGCGCCACATAGGATGTGCATTTCTGTGCAGCTGAAGAGCGATTACATCTCTGATGAACTGATTGCTACACGTCCCTGTGGCCATGGGGTTCTACTCCCTCATTTACAGAGGTGAAAAAGCTAGCCTGGCGCAGCAGACACATGCGATGGATGCTCTTCCGTTCCAAAGGATGAGTTTGTGCTGGGAAATCCTTAAGAAGAGATGACTGGCCAAGGCTCTAAGGAGTAAGGATATTCCTCAGAGCAAAGCTAACCAGCCTGCCCCACCCGACTCCCCTGCTGCGTCTACGTGAGATCAGCAGCCACAGGCACCTTGCAACTCGATGCTCTCCCCACACTCAGAGCCTCAGAGAGAGATTGAAAGGAGGATGGTGTACGTGTGGAAAGTCAAAAGGGGAAACCAGAGTTTGGTCAGTTTATTTAAGCCAAGGGAGCAGACTTAAGTGAATGGTACAGCCAGGATTAGAACACATAGGTGACGCCAATTATGATTTAAAAACAAAAAACAGGGAGGAGAGGGTTTTAGATTAAAAGAGACTGAAGGGTCTTAGTGATTGGACCCGGATGGGATCAGGGTTTGAAAACAAACAAATGAACAAAAAAGTATGAAAGATATTTTTTGGGAAAAGTTGAATATGGACTGGATGTTGGATGATACTAATGAATTGTTAATTTTCTTAGGTAACATAAAGTTAATTACAGAGAAGATTGGCCTCATTTTTTTAGGATGGTCTCATTTTTTTAAGACATGTCCAAGAAGTTAGGAGCAGAGTGTCAAGATGGTTGTCAATTTACTTTCAAACGATTCAGCAAAAAAAAATCTTACATATAGCTAAAGCAAAAATGGCAAAAATGAGCAATTGTCGAATTTAGGATTTTATTTTATTGTCATTCAAATTCGACATCTGTCTGAAATTTTTCATAACAATGAAAAAATAAAGAACGCGCATCCCTTTAGTTAGGTGGCCCGGATACATTAACTGACTGCTTGAATTCCTAGAACACTAAAGGAAATGACAATAGGCTGATGATAATAAGGTGATATCGAGAACAGTAGTGGGAAAAGAACTGTAGCAAAAAATAATTTGTCAGGGAGGCTGCAGAGTACAAAGCCTCTGGAGTGACGGGGAGGAGGCTCTTAAGCAAAGCTCATAAGAAAACTCCTTAACTCATAGATGCAGTTAAGGGAGCTGCATTCTGCAAAAGCCTCGGGATCTCATCAGCATCAATATACTGCTTTCCCTCCGAGCTGTTCCATTGTCCTCCTCGAACCCCCGAAATCATAGTAACCCTTTGAATCGGAATTATCTGGAAGCGAAAGTACTAGGTTTAGGAAAGTGTTCTCTTCATCTTCTACCAGACAGGTTAACTGCTTACTTTGCACCCCTTACGGATCTGCCGTAAGGTACTTCGGCACCGCGTTCCTGGTGTCCTGCTCCCGTGGGCTCTGACCCCGGACAAGCTCTGGCTGCTTTACCCCAGGGTGGGACTCCCTTTGACTTCCCACCAGAGGTAAAGGGATCGACACATACCCCTGCCTCCGAATGGAAAAACTGGACCTTTGTCTGGGCAGCTCAAGAATAAGGAGGGACAGAGGCACGCCCCCTCCCCCAACACCAGGTCGCCGATATTAGCATGCACATGCATGAGATTTGCCGAAGCTTTATTTAGCCCGCGAAGCGGCCAGCTCACAGGCAGGTTTTCACGTTTCCCTTTCTAGGTCGTCTTAAGTGTATTGCGTTCTGAAGAGAAAACAGATCGTAAAGCTTCTTCAGGAAGCTGGTTTCATATGGTGGTTTAGATTTAAATAGTGATTGTCTAGCACCATTTGAAATCAGTGTTCTTGGGGGAGACCCATCTGCGCTGCCAGCAGCCAAAGGAAGGAATGGGGACGGGCCTGAAGAACTGGAAAGCCAGGACACGACAGCCCTGAGAACCTGCCCGACGTTCTGGCTGACCCGTCCCTCGCCCCTGCCAGCAGAGGCGTTACGTACATAACCTCCTACGCAGGATGTCTCATGATTAGAATTTCGTGCTCATTTGCAAAATGAACCTAACGTAGCACTTTTCCTGTAACATAAACCCCGTCGAGCGTGGGTCAAAGGGCTGAAAGCATGGCGGATCTGTTAACGTTTGGGCCCTGTCCACCCTCACGACCTCCTGTGACCCCCTTAGAGGATGACTGATTTCTTTTGGTGTTCAGAGTCAATACAATTTTCTAGCACCATCTGAAATCGGTTATAATGACTGGGGAAGAGCACCGTGCGGCCGATTCACCAGAGAACGTGTGTTGGTGACCCTTTGGGTCCACGACTGGGACACCAGAAAGCAGACACTCCAAGGCGACATTTCTTCTTCCAGTTTTTGAGTTTCGTTGCCCCGAATTACGTGTGTTTTAATGCTGATCAGTGGTTAACTATCAGCCTGTCGCTCTTGGTTATCGTCCACAGAATTCATGGGGATTTTGGTTTTGATGACAGAGACCTAGAAAAACATGGCTGGGATCGACGATCGCCTCGGATCACAGGAAAGGAGCAGCGAGGGAAGAAACGGCACCCGGGACGAGAGGCGTACGTGGCCCGATCTGCGAACATTCTCCTGCCTGGCTCTGGGGCTCACCCGCAGTTAACCAGATTGTTCGTTTTCTTAAAAGGCAAGCCAGGCTCCAGGGGCTAGAAGCTCAGCCTGTCAAGGCACGTGAGGAAAAGTGACACAGGTAACTAGATTTCCGTGTCTAAGACAGAACTAAATTAATTCATTTCAGTTCAGTGTAGAAAGCGAGGGGAAGAAGGCAGGAAGTTATCCTTGAACTGTTATCCTGAATTATACCTTCTTACTGTGGAAGGGAAGTCATTCCGTTGAAAACAATACTGAGTTTTCCGGGTCCACGCAAGGAGGCGGAAAGGCTTCGGGGGGCGCTCTCAGCTGCTCCACCTCCCAGGGGTCATAATGCTGCTTCTGCCCACAGGGACCGATTCAGCCAAAGGTCGCCCTGCCCGCCCCCCGCGGTCTCCACGTGGCATCCTGGAGCATGGAAGGGGCACCTGCTGGAATTCCAGGCCTCGCCCTTCCATTTTCTCCTTGGCCCGGAGAAGCCACATGGCCTAACGATGATATTTACCCGGAGTAACACAGCTCAGGCCCCCAATGCCTCTACCCCCGTCACACCCACATCTGCCCTTTGAGCCTCCTACTTCTCATTTGTCTGAAAAGCCCTTTTTCTGTAGCCCTCATATTGTGCTGACCATGCCAACTAAAAGAATTAGGATCTGGTCACTTCTTCTTTTTCTGCTCTATGGTTATTCTTTCCCCAAAACTCTGCTGCTTTCTCACCTGCTCTGTTCGCCCCGAGTAATCTTACTACTTTCCTGGTTCCATCCAGATACCCCCACAACTTGCTGATTTCCTCCAAAATAGAGCTCTAGCGACAGAATTTTTTTTCCACAACCGGTTATTTCCATATTTTCAGTAGTTTCTAGATAGTATAACCCTGCTGTTTTAAACCTGCCTGAATTTAATACGCCAAAACCATACCCGTTACCTTTTCCCCAAAACCAGTTCTCCCTGTCTGTCCCATGCTCAAAGCTGAACCTATTAGAATTGTGTGACTTCCCTCTTCCCTACCCCATCCCGTCCACACTCACCAAGTCTTGTTCTTTCTTAACTACGTCTTTTAAACCCCACACTTTTCTCTGTACCCTCATTAACCTCCTAGGTGCCTCTCTTGCCCCACCTCTCACTTAGTTCAGAATGTGTGTTGCCACCAATTATCTTTCTGAAACGTGTGCTATTGTTCCTTCTCCATTCTTCACGTCTCCAGCCAATGCCCCCACCCCCGCCTCAGGTTTTCTGAGCTCAGCCAGCCGCCCGTGCCTGCAGGCCCACCAGGAACCTGCACATTCTTGAGCCTGTGTAGGAACGATTTCCTCCACCGGAATCTCCTCTCTCCTCCCCTTCCTCAGCCTTGGGCTTAGAGGGATGGTGGGTGACAACAGCACCTACTATGTCCCTTCGGTTCGCTCGCCTACACGTGCAGGGTCCTCTGCAGAGTCTGTGGCAAGCGTTCCTTACAGGCCGCTGCTTCCATTTTTCAGCCACTTCCTAGTTTCTCTCCATTTTCGTTTGCCAAGGGCGTGAGAATGAAAACCGCTTCCAACGATGACCTCAGTTAAACAGGAGAAAGTAAATCTGCCTCAAAGGGCACGTGTCCCTTTCTGAAACTTTCAATATAATAGCGATATATCATCCACTGTGGATCATCCAGCTGTTTTCTTCTATGTGCACAAGTAATTAGGAATTGATAGGCTTGATGAGTTTAAAAGCTATGAGAATAATAATTATTGAAGGATTGCTGTCCCCATTGTAGAGAAGAGCAGATAGGCACAACACTCAAAAAGCCAGTAAACTTAACGCTAAGGAGACTGAAGCCATTAAAAACAGTCCCTTACAGTTACTGAGTGCCAACCACATGCGTGCTCACCACCCATCCCTCTGAACGGCTCTGCGTGGGCAGCCTTTCCCCTGCGTTAAAGACGAGGAAATAAAAGCACAGAAAAGTTACGTAACTTGCCCGGGATTTCACAGCTTGTCCACGTGGGAGTTTGAATTCTAAATCAGATAATGCACAATCATGACGAGGTTAACAGCCGCTAACACTGAGCTGCTACTTCATGCCACTTGCTAAGGATTCTACATGATGTGTCTCATTTAACTTTCAAAATTGTCCTATAGAGTAGGTATTATTATCATCATTCCCGTTTTGCAGATGAGAAAACAAACTGAGAAAAATTAAGTAATTTGCTCATGATCATGTAACTTTAAAGCTTTTATGCAGGAGCGGGAGCCCACACCTGTCTGGTTCCAGTGCAGATAATTTTAGCGCTGTCCTTTTCATCGTGGTGGATACGATGGTGGGCATACTCGTCCATAGGCAGCCTCTAAAATGGGCCCCACTGATCCCCACATACCATCTCAGGCCCTGTGGGATCCGCTCCCTTTGGGTGTGGGCTGGACCTAGTGATTTGCTTTTCACAGGTAGAATGAATATGTCAAAGGTGATGGGATGTCACTTCTGAGATTAGGTTACAAATAGACTGTGATTCTATCATGCTTGTGTGTGTGTGCACACTCCCCCTCCCCCCACACCCCACCTCATCTATCCATCCATCCATCCATCCATCTATCATATATCTATCTATCTATCTATCTATCTATCTATCTATCTATCGTCTATCACCTATCAATCGTCTGTCGTCTCTCTGTCTCTCCCTCCCTCCCATGTTGGGAATGGCCCAGTAGAGAGACCCCAATGGCAAGGAACTGATGTCTTCAGGTGGCAGCTCACGAGGACCTGAGGTCTGCCAAAAGCTCCATGAGTGAGCTTAGAAATGAATCCTCCGCCGTGAGCCTAGAGGTGACTGCAGCTTCAGCCAAAACCTTGACTGCATCCCGTGAGCCCCTGAGCCAGAGGACCCAGTGAAATTGTGCCCAGATTCCTGACCCATGGAAATTGTGACATAATCAAGGTTTGTTTTAAGCCATTAAGTTCTGGGGCTATTTGTTATGTAGCCATAGATTACTAATACAGCTCATGTATTACCTATATCTAGTAGTCATGTAGTAGTAATACTAGTAGTATCTGTAGCTAGACTCAAACTTTCTGCTTACAGTACCTAGTTTTGAAGCTAAGCTTTTTTTGCAGTAACCTCAGATTTAGAGAAAAGTTGCAAAGATAGTACAGTGAGTTCTGTTACATCCCTTATCGCAGTCCCTCTGTTGTTATTATCTTACATAACTATAGTACATTTGTCAATACTAAGAATCCAACATTGGTGCATTGTTGACTAAATTTCAGGCTTTATTCACATCTCGCTAGTTTTTCTACGATGTCCTTTTTCTCTTCCAGGTTTGTGTCATATTTTTATATAGCCTAATAGATATCACACCCTGTGTATCACTCCATGTGTGTGTGTGTGTGTGTACAGAAAGAGAAAAGAAATATATATTTGTCTGCTAAAATTTGGGAGATCTATTCATAGATAATAAAGGAATATTAGAAAAGTCTGTAATTCGGGATCTTGTTTATAATTATTTGGGAAAATAAGCATTATGTTAACTGAACTGAACTTTCCTGTTATGTGAAATTATGGATAGGGGTGATGTAGTAACTCCAAATAAAAAATGGTAAGACTCTGAGAAGTCATAAATACTTTTAAAAAGTCACGTGACTTTTTAATGTTTTAATAAACTCGAACAATTTTAATAAACTAAGGCTTTTTGATTTCCATTTATTAAGAGTATCAAATATCAGATTTGCAAATGGTTATTTTGCATTATGATGTTGGTGCAAATTAATGTTTATTTATACGATATGCAAATACTTAATCTTCTGGTAACTGTTTAAATGGAAACTAAGAGTTCTCATTTCCTTTTATCTTATAGTTCCTGTGCCGATCCTGGCCAAGTCACTTGGACTTTCTGGATTTGTTTTCTTTTGTATCAATTTATACTACTAGAATTTTACAATGACTTAATCGTGTACTACAGCCACTTAATAGGTGTAAACATTTGCAATACAAAACTCTGTGTAAGAGAGTAATATAACTTTCTGTTCTCTAATTGCCTACACATTTAGCCGCATGATTTTGCACCATTCTCAAGTGACCCTTGTAGTACGGTCCATATAAAATAAAACTTTCAGGTAAGAAGAATGATGTTGCTTGAAGGAGAAAGGGCCTCCTACTTCTACGTGTACTCTCCTGGTTGAATTTTTAAAATAGGGTATATGAATGAGAAAATCAGGTGACTTAGGAGAAAATGACAAGTAGCTAAGCTTTGGATAAATCCTTAAAAGCCATTAAGTGAGACAAGATTTAAAAATCTTGAGGACCTACCAAAAAAAACCCAAATAAGCCATAAAAAAAAAAAAAAAAAGTGGAACAACAGAAACAAACTCTGAAAATAACGCACACAGGAGAGCTTGAGTCTTGGTGGCCATGGGCCACTTTGGCTTGACCCTGAGGGGTCTCCTTTGTAGCCGGAATGACTCACCTCGTTTTCAATACTTGACTACTGGAAAAGAAAAAAAGAAAAAAACAAATACAACAGACAATAGAAGATGTTGCAGAAGGAGGGAGAAATGACATGTAATTGGGGAAGAAAGCAAAACACAGCGTAACCTCAGTCATAACACATTACCTCTCAGAACTCTGAATTCATTACGTTTTTTGCACTTGTCTACTTTGAAATGAAAGTGTCAGATGCCGAGAAAGCAAGCTAAGTTTACTGAAGAACTATATGCATAAATATTTCTACTGCGATATTTCGAGGTCAGCATATAATTTCTGTCTATTGCGTCTAGAATATAATCTTGGCTATTCACAACGATGACCGATCCTCAGATACCGTGGAGACCGTAAGTCGCTGAAGGCTTCAAATGCATTCATCATGCTATGCTTAGGAACGCCAGTAAGAATGTATAAATATGTTGCAGAGACTTTATAAGTAATTCTCACTTAGCCGAAAATGAAATAAAATATGTATACCATATAGACAGAATCCATTAGTGTTCTTTAAATTTTTATTATCGTGGAGGTAAAATTCACGTAACAAAATTTACCCTTTTAACCATTTTAAAGTGTACGTTTCAGTGGGTTTTACAATGTCGTGCAGCCGTCAGTACTATCTAACTCCAGAGCATTTTCATTGCCCCAAAAGAATCCCCACAGCCATTACGTAGACACTCGTCACTGCCACCCCTGGCTCTGGCAAACCAAGAATCTGCCTTCTGTGGCCTATTCTGGACCTTCATACGGTGGAACCACACAGTACGTAGCCTGTTGTGACTGGCTGCTTCCACTTAGCACAATGGTTTCAAGGTTCACCCAAGTCGTAGAGCATGTCTGTACATCATTCCTTTTTACGGGTGAATCATATCCCATTAAACGGGCAGATCACGTTCTGTTTATCCGTTCATTGGTCCGATGGGCGTTTGGGTGGTTCTTTACATTCACATCTTTATATCCATGCCCATGGACGAACACGACAGACAGCACCGAGCCCTCTGTACCCCTGTAAGCAGCCACTTTCGGCCCATTTATCCGTTTCTTCTGATTATTTCCCTCCATTTAAGATACTCACATTGCTATTTCTTCATTTCGACTTTACTTGTTTTACTTTTTCTACAGGAAAAGAGGGTTTAGCTCTGACGCCACCACTCACACGCACACTACTGCGTTTGCATTCACACTTTAGTTAGAGCACTATTTTTGGTCAAATCAGGAATTAGTGTGGATAATTATATAAATCCTATATTGACAGCGCAGCCACGTAGTTTCACATTTCCTTTGAAAACTTTTTAATAACTTCATCACTTTTCTTTGGTTCATTTTCTGTGTACTTCACTATGGAGCTATAACACGCATCTCAGCATTCGCTGACACGGCACACAATCAGGCAGCTGTATTTTTTTCTCGGAGCCACGTGTCCTGTGGTGACCTGGACAGTTGTCCTCTGGGGCCGGTTCCCAGCCATTGTCCTGGGGCTTCACCTCATATTGTCCTGGAAGTCTCCCTTTTCTCTCCTGGTTGGACTCCCCACCCTAAGTCCCAGGATCTTCCTTCTTGCTTTACTTTTTTTTTTTTTTCTATTTTTTTCATATTAGTTTCAGGTATACAGTACATTGATTAGACATCTCTATAGTTCATACAACGATCCCCCAATTGCTCCCCCTGCTCCCTGGGCCTCCACTTAGCCATTGTATTACTGCTAACTGCATTCCCCATGCCATACTCCCCACCCCCGTGACCGACTATCGACTACTAATGTTCTAATTTGTACTTCTTTAGCCCTTCACCCCATTCTCCCAGCCCCCCAAACCTCCCACCCCTCTTCCTTCACCAAACTGTCCACTATATTTGAAGGGCTCCCCCCGCTCCCTGGGCCTCCACTTAGCCATTGTATTACTGCTAACTGCATTCCCCATGCCATACTCCCCATCCCCGTGACCGACTATCGACTACTAATGTTCTAATTTGTACTTCTTTAGCCCTTCGCCCCATTCTCCCAGCCCCCCAAACCTCCCACCCCTCTTCCTTCACCAAACTGTCCACTATATTTGTGAGTCCATTTTTGATGAGTTTGTTCTTTTTGTTCCTTAGATTTTGCATATAAGTGAAATCGTATAGTGTTTATTTTTCTCTGACTTATTTCACTCAGCATAAGAACCTCTAGGTCCATCCATATCGTTGCAAATTCCTCGCTTTACTTTTTTTTTTTTTTTTTGTATGTGCACATCCATCAGTAGTTTCCTAAGAAAGGAAGACTGGGAGGTAATTTTTCGAGGCTTTTTATTTTACTCTTTTATTTTTTTGATAATTCAAATGTTTATGGAATTCCTGATTGGAAAACTTTCCTCTTAGACAGAAAATTTCTAGCCCTCAGAAATCTGTTGTTGAGAAATGTGGCCCCTTTTTTTTTCTGGAAGTTTCTCAGAGCTTATTTTTTATCCCTCGTGTTGTTTAAATTTCGTGATTATGTGCCCCAATAGAGGTCTTATTTTCATTTACTTAGCCAGGCACTTACTGTTCTTTTCATTCTGGAGATGTATGTCTTTCAACTCCAGAAAATATTCCTCTGATATTGTTCACTATTCTTTCTTCCGAGAATTATTATTTTTTATATATTGGACCTCCTGGACGAACTCTGTGATTTTTCTTATTTTTTTTCTTTGCAGTTTCTATATATTTTTTCCTATTCTATTTTCTGGGGAAATTCTCACCTGTGTTTCCAAAACTTAATACTGAGTTCTTACTTATGCTAACATATTTCTAATATCTGAGTTTTTTACTTTATTTTTTAATGTTTTTACCTGTTTTGAGGATGGTAAGTGTTCCTGAGGATCTTAAATAGTTTTTCCCCCCTCTTTTTAAAGTTTCCTGCCTCCTGCATTCTGTCTGTTCCTTCCAGGCTCTTGTGTTTCCGCTTTGGGTTTTGTCTTTTATGTTAGAGATTTGCTCAAACATCTAGTGATTCTTAACTATTCATTTATATTTAAGAACGGGGCCTTAAAACTGTCGAAAGTTCTCGATATGTCGGCAGGACTTAACCAACGAGTGGGTCTCATCTTAGGGCATGTGGTGGACACATTGTTGACCTCCCCCCAAAGACGTTCACATCCTGATCCCCAGATTCTGTGAAAATGTTAACCTCACGTGGCCAAAGAGACTTTACGCACGTGATTCAGGTCAAGGTCCAAGCTCGAGAGAGGAGCCTGAATTATCCAGGTGGGATCAATCTAATCGCACGAGTCCTTAAAGGCAGAGCCCCTTTTCCAGCTGTGTCAGAGCCGTGACCAGGAAAGAAAGGTTAGGGAGCTGCATCACTGCTGGCTTTGAGGGTGGAGGAAGGGGACCCTGAGCCGAGGGGTGCAGTTCACCTCAAGAAGCTGGCACAAGCAAACAAACAGCCCCACCTCGAGCCTCCGGAAGGGAATGCGGCCCTGCGGACACTTTGATTTTTGCCCAGTGAGACCCGTATCAGACTTCCGGCCTCCAGCATGGTAAGACGAGAAATTTGTGTTGTTTTAAGCTGCTAAGTTTGTAATCATTTGTAACAGCAGTAATAGAAAACCAATACAAGACGATTGAAAGGAGGTTCAGCTGCTGCTCTGAGGATTCCTAGTGTCATTTATAAGATTTGGGGTTGTTTTTCTGTCTCTTTCTCTGTCTCTCTCTCTCTCTGGTCAGTTTCCTAAGAGAAAACGTCTTTGGTCTCCTGCTGGGGGTTGTATCAGGCTCACTCAAACAGAATCACTACAAATTTTACGAGAATAAAACGTTTAAGGTAGGCCTTCAGGGCTGCACAAATGCGGGGGGACGTTGCTGAGGAAGTGAAGGTCTCGAAGGCTGCAGCTAGAGAACTGAGGACATTGTCACTGAAGACTTGAGCGGGCAGCACCGGATGGTTTCAAGAAAACCCAAGAAGCTACAGGGTCTACCCACCAAAGGGGGCTGCGAAGTGGGAGCTTGTCGGGAAAGGTCTGTGAACCCATCACACCTGAGCATTGGGATGATGGCGTTCACTTCACTTACACGTCCCAAATCTTATGCAAGCTCCTCTCACAGGCAAACTGGAGCCACGCAGGGAAAGGGGTTCCCAACCTTAGCCGGCATGGCGATGGCAGTGGGGCGACTGACAATAGAACATTGTCAATAGAACAGAAAGATGAGCACAGAGGTACAAGCCCGGCTGCCAAATTCTGGAAGCTGAACTGACGAAAGGGTCTGGAGGTTTCATCGTTCAGAATATAGATTTGAATTTAACCCCTCTTTTCAGCAAGGCACCTTGTCCTCCCTTAGCTGTGCCTAATATCCCTAAGTCCACAGCTTCTCACGTTCAAGCTCTCCAGAGTGGAACTTGTGTTGGGGCAGATCGGGGAGAAGACGGGAATTCAACTGCGCCGTACACAGACTCCCAGTGAGTCTTGCGTTCGGTCCACCGTCTTCAGGAGTAATTGCACCTCTGACTCCCGAGCCTTCTGCACAGGTGTTGGGTTGCTTCTTGTGGGCATGGTTCCCTGAGGTCTTAAGTTTCGGCCTTTTTGCTGTGCTAAGTTTATTTACCACATATCTGTCCACCCTCTAAGATTTTATTGACAGCACTCACCTGCTGGCCACTCTCGCATTCTCTTTGTTCTAATTGGCACTTCCTTTATTCCTGGATCATCATATTAGTGGAATACCAAGAGGAAATTGACAAGCCCACGTGTTCTGAAAGTTCGTGAGATTTTAAAGATAAATGGTGTGATACAGGGCAAAACACTCAAAGTCAAGGGCCTTAGGTCTAGTTCCAGCCATCTTCCCATTTTACTTTTAAGGAGCCCAGTTTTCTCACTTCAAAAACAAGTTGGTTCCATCAAGGTCCTTTTTTAAGATTCTAATGAAAGCCTTGACCCCTCTCCTTAAAAGTAGTACAAATGCACACACACCAAAATTGGGAATAATATTTTCGGAGGTTCACGGGTCCCCCGAGGCATCCCATGAACTCCCCGAGAGCTTAATCCTCACGTTCAGACCCTGGGCTTAGATCGAACTCTGAGGTCACCTTTAGACCTGACATTCAGTTCTCAAAGCTCTAAGGTTTAAATATGATAGCTTTCAAAGATGACATTTCAAGCCGGCCTTCTTAAGAGTTAATAGCCTTCAATGTATTATTTATCAGGAAACCAAAAAAGCTAGAGTCTTAGGAGTTAGTCTCAATTCAGTTCAGAGAGATCAGGAGCTTAGGTAAGTGGCTCGGGAGCTCTAGAGACCAGAGATCAGAGAAAGCCTCTCTCATCTGCTCACCATGAAAAATGCCACGGAGTCACAGCAAGAAGTCTCAGCAGGGGCTTGGCCAGCAGGCGTTGCGTATAGTCCAGGTGACATCAACAGTGGCCTCCCTGACAGCACACTCGCAGCGCGTCATTTTGAATAACAGCATTGAGAAAACAAGCCGCACCGAGGTGCATGCAGACTAGGTGATAGCGTCACCATGGACCCAAACAGCTC